GAGTTAAGATCCTACTTTATTCCCACCTGATTATGTTCTTTATTAGATTTTGATTATATATGAGTCAAGAACAATGCTTATATTAATTGATTTTAACAGAAGTGTTAAAATTATTGTTTTGATAAGTTATTTCACCGTGATGTTTTATAAAAGGTCCGTTTATAATCAAAATTGGTGACAAGCATTCAGTGGCAAAGAAAATAATTGGAATGAGGTTGGCATGACTTTCTCTGATAGTTTTATGAAAACTCAGGTATGTTTCCTAAAATGGATTAGTTTTAAATCTCTATATTACGTTATGTATTCTCAAGTAATAGGGGGGCGGTCGGGTAGCCTAGTGGTTAAAGAGTTCGCTCGTCACGCCGAAGACCCGGGTTCGATTCCCGACATGGGTACAATGTGTGAAGCCCATTGCTGGTGTCCCCCGCCGTGATATTGCTGGAATATTGCTAAAAGCGGCGTAAAACCCTACTCACTCACTCACTCACTCAAGTAATAGGATAAAACGTTTAAAACCTTTCGGTCGACAGTAACGTACATTACAAATCAGGTACATTAAGCAAAAAAATCATTCATTTTTTTCAAACGTGTGTGTTATGTAATTCATACAAACAATAATTTCTGGTTACTCAGTACAGTAAACAAGAGAAACGTCAGAGACATAAATGCAACAGTTTATTGAGAATGAGTTAGAAACGTTATGAATCTCAATCTACGCAGCTTTTGAAATCTCGTCTTTTATGACGCCTCACTCAGAAATATTCCAGCTATATGACGGCGGTCTGTAAATAATCGAGTCTGGACCAGACAATCCAGTGATTGACATCATAAGCACCGATAGACGCAGTTTGGATGCGATGACATGCATCAACCAAGTCAGTGAGCCTGACCACCCGATCCCGTTAGTCGCCTTTTACGGCAAGCATGGGTTGCTGAAGACCTATTCTATACCGAATCCTTACGGGTGGGTAAACCCGAGTGTCATCTGTGTAAAAGAATTCATCACTGAGCATGACACTTTACTCTCGACATAGGTGTTTTTTCATACAGTTCAAACAGTCTTTCCCTCAAACTAAATGAACGGTAGTTCGTACTCACAGAATACAAACAAGTATACATTAAACAATCTCGAGCCAACATTCAAATGGCCGAGCTTCGACCTTGCGTGCATGTCGCTCGGATCCGTTCGGCTCAATCGGCTACTTAATATGAGAATCACCACGTGACAACCATGAAGAATTGCAAATTGGTGGTGCGTGCTGCACGTGCATATACAGTTTTCCTGTACGTGGTTACCCAAGGGGTACGGGGACAGGGTCAGCACCTACACAAATGTTGGTCCGATCTCCGTTCTATGTCAGTAGTTGGAAATACAGATCTGAACTTGAAAAGACAAAAACTCTTTTGGTATCATCAAAGGCAAAACCTTTGTCGTTGCAGAAATGGGAATTAAATATATTTGCAATTGCGTGAGCTTTCCTGTAGTGAGTGAGTGAGTGAGTGAGTGAGTATGGTTTTACGCCGCTGTTAGCAATATTCCAGCAATATCACGGCGGGGGACACCAGAAATGGGCTTCACACATTGAACCCATGTCGGGAATCGAACCCGGGTCTTCGACGTGACGAGCGAACGCTTTAACCACTAGGCCACCCGACCGCCCCGAGCTTTCCTGCAAACAGCTCGAGTCGCAAGTATCAGACTGAATGAAGCGCACATAAATAAAAGGGAAGTCACTCCTGTATGACTATCGTCCTGCACTTCATGATCACGATAATGACATGCAGCCGCTGCAGCATATATTTAACATACGCTCAAGGATGAATGGGCGAAGTAAATGTACATATGGCAACAAGTCATTCCCTGGCACTGTAATTAATGATCGAGTCTGAACCAGACAAACCTGTGATTGATATTATGAGTAGGGTCCGTTTGTGCTTTCGCGTAGGGAAACGTCCAGACAAGATATACATGAGTGAGTGAGGTTTTACGCCGCTTTTAGCAATATTCCAGCAATATCACGGCGGGGGACACCACAAATGGGCTTCACACATTGTACCCATGTCGGGAATCGAACCCGGGTCTTCGGCGTGACGAGCGAACGCTTTAACCACTAGGGTACCCGACCGCCCCAGATATATAAGCGGTGAGGTGAGGTGAGGTGAGGTGAGGTGAGGTGAGGTGAGGTGAGGTGAGGTGGGGTGAGGTGAGGTGAGGTGAGGTGAGGTGAGGTGAAATTGGGTTTGCAGGATTAATGCACTCCTATGTCTGGCTGCTTGTTCTTGCCCTGACTTCTACCGGTTGTATAAAGCTAGGCCACAGAGATATCATGCCGACCAGTCCGTGTTTAATCACCTCAATGCCGAGTGCAGGGCAGGGTAACAACAAACACCATCTTTAAACATCTTTTGGTTTGACGCGGCCGAGGATCGAACCACCAAATGCTCCCTCCGCGCAGACACTCTATCCAGCAGACCTACGTCGATTGATTAACATAAATTGTTACTTTGACAGAAAAATAACAATATAACAAAGAAGCATTTGACAAGCAACTCGGCACCAGGCAAAATAGTAACGAGCAAATAAATTCCTACCAGCTTGAACATTGTGTGTGCCATTATTTGTTCGGATACGTACAGATAAACAGGTAACAGGTGAATCTATTCTACATATCTGCATTATATAAAACACCTCGATCAATAATAGACACGAATATCAATGATTGTACATGAGGAACTATTCATCTGTTGTGATTGAGTGTGGCAGCTTGCAAGCTCTGGAACCTCTCGGTTGTGAAATATGCTGATCATGCAAGCGTTAACTCCCTTTGTATATGGTGAAACACATCTGACACGCGATATGCATATACTGAATATTTAGAAATTATATAGGGATATTGGGATATGATATATTTCATCACAATAATGCGAGGGTCATGGCAAAATTGTTTTTAACATGAGAATAACCGCCCTAGTTTACATTAATAGTTCCAGAGTCAAGACTGCAGTTTGTGTAATATATTTGTTGGTCATACTAAAGGTTGAAATACAGTTAAACACGGTTGTGTCGAAGTTGAAGTGACTTCAATACTTCGGGTTATCCGAGGTTCGAAACAACCGGAAATTATAACTAAAGAAGGAATACGTATAGACCAAGCTTTTTCTTCACATGAGGTGAGGTGAAATGGGGCTTAAAGTCGCGTCCAAGATTATTGCACTTATATAGCGACGTGCATGTACGTGTGTGTGTTTGTGTGGCTGCTTGTACTAGTCCGGACTGATGCCGATTTATAGTGCTAGCTCACTGAGATACCAAGTCGCAGTTTAACATGAATATCACACTCAGAGAGAGTATACTGACTCCGAGCCGACCAGTCCTTGTTTCAGCCCTTTAATGCCGAGCGCCAGACAGGGTAACAACAAGTACCATCTTTTAACGTCTTTTGGTATGACGCAGCCGGGAATCGAACCCCGGACCTTCCGCTCTCCGGGCGGACGCTCTACCACTAGACCACGCAGGCGGGTTTCTTCACATGAAATACATGCACATGGTATTGCGACAAGTGATTAGTTCAATCTGTTTAAATATTCTTTTGAAAGGTTTATAAATACATTTTAGGGTCCGTCAGGTTACTTTTCCGTCTGTATGATGGGCTGTGTATTGTGTGAATGTGAATATGTATTATCTGTGGAGTTTTCAAGGATTGCTTGTATTGCATTTTCCGCTCCGGGAATACACATACTTATTAGAACTGTGATACGATCCGTGAAGATTCCAATGAGAATAGGTCTTCAGCAACCAATGCTTCCCGTAAAAGGCGAATATGCTTTCGGATGAGTCGACTAACGATATCGGATGGTCAGGCTCGCTGATTTGGTTGATGCAATCAATGGATTGTCTGGTCCAGACTCGATTATTTACAGACCGCCGTCATAGCGGGAATATTGCTGTGTGCGGCGTTAAACAACAAACAAACAAACAAACAAAGACAGGTATGCAAGGCTTATAATACAACACATGCACATCAAGGACGAGATTCCAAAAGTGGCGTAGATTGAGATTCAAAACAAATAAACAGACAAAAAAAACCCATCTGAGACACTACTATATATGTCCTGCGTTGACAATTGTTTTTATTGTGTATATATTGTTTTCGTCGTATATCTAAAACGTTGCTGATTCGCAGTAACTCCAAACGTCACTCACTCCAAACCTGCCACGGCCATTAAATACTTAATAGTGGGAAGCGACAGAATTTCAGGGTATACATATACAAAATAACCACCATTTGTGCAAGAGTTTGTATATTTCCAGAATGGATCAGAAATAAATCAAAATCATGTTCCCAGTATATTTCAGTGATACTTCTGACATTCCCCGTAACAAATGTTTAGCAGATAAAGGATCACCTGCGTCAACACACGCCATGACGCCCACTACTCTTGTGCTGTACCTTCCACATATGCCATTCCTCGATGGCCATACAACTAGTGTGTCATCGACCCACAGCAGATGGTCATATTGAACATACAATAATCGAAGCATGATGTGCATGGAGTGTTTCTGCACTCTTCACTTATTATATCTCGAACACTTTGATATGTCTTTAAAAGCATAGTGTAAACTGGATCAGTTTGTTGCCTTTGCATGTGTTTGTGACGGGTGCCACAAGTGGGGCAGGATACGCTCACCTTTTCGCGAACATCTGGTACCATCACTGTATGGTAGTGTTTCGTAAATATTCATGATACGTGTTGTAGTCGGAATCGTAGTGTGGACTCGGCTTTTGGCAGAGATTGCGTTCGGTTATGCAAAGGGGTTTTGTCGTTTTTTTAAACGACGTATTTGTCACGTGAATTGAAAAAATGAAAGTAAGGAACAGTGTTATCCCTTTTGGAAAATTACTTTCAGTCAAAACCTTGTAAACCTACAAATTATTTGAACGAATCGCCAAAGTTTCCATTGAACAAGGCACAATCTGGCTTGAATAGCATTTGGTATTTTATTTACGTGAGATGAGGTGAGATGGAGGAGATGAAGTGAGATGGAGGAGATGAGGTGAGATGGAGATGAAGAGAGTTGAATGAAATGAGGTGAGATGAGGTGAGATGGAGGACATGAGGTGAGATGGAGGACATGAGGTGAGATGGAGGGGATGAGGTGAGATGGAGGAGATGAGGTGAGATGGAGATGAGGTGAGATGGAGGAGATGAGATGGAAATGAGGTGAGATGGAGAAGATGGGATGGAGGAGATGAGGTGATATGGAGATGAGGTGAGATGGAGCAGATGAGGTGAGATGGAGGAGATGGGATGGAGGAGATGAGGTGATATGGAGATGAGGTGAGATGGAGGAGATGAGGTGAGATGGAGGAGATGAGGTGAAATGGAGATGGTGAGATGGAGGAGATGAGATGGAACTGAGGTGAGATGGAGGAGATGAGGTGAGATGGAGGAGATGGGATGGAAATGAGGTGAGATGGAGGAGATGAGGTGAGATGGAGGAGATGGGATGGAGGAGATGAGGTGAGATGGAGGAGATGGGATGGAGGAGATGAGGTGATATGGAGATGAGGTGAGATGGAGCAGATGAGGTGAGATGGAGGAGATGGGATGGAGGAGATGAGGTGATATGGAGATGAGGTGAGATGGAGGAGATGAGGTGAGATGGAGATGGGTGAGATGGAGGAGATGAGATGGAACTGAGGTGAGATGGAGGAGATGGGATGGATGAGATGAGGTGAGATGGAGGAGATGAGGTGAGATGGAGGAGATGAGGTGAGATGGAGGAGTGAGATGGAGGAGATGAGGTGATATGGAGGAGATGGAATGGAGGAGATGAGGTGATATGGAGATGAGGTGAGATGGAGGAGGTGAGGTGAGATGGAGGAGATGAGGTGACAATTTAACGCCGCGTTCAAAATTATTACCTTATATAGCGACGTGAACACACCTATGTGTCCTCATGCAAATAGTTGTTTGTATTTGTCCTGAATAATACCGGTTTCAGAGTGCTAGCCTACTGAGATACCATGCCGCAGTTTAACACGGATAACCCGCTCTGACATAGTATACTGACTCCCAGCGGACCAGTCCTTGTTTTATCCCCTTGATACCTTGCGCAAGACAGGGTAACAACAACTACCATCTCTTAACGTATTTTGTTACACGATCGGGAATCAAACCACCGACCTTCCTCTCTCCAGCCCGAAACGAAATGTGATATTAAACTGCGTGACAGTATTTGTATAATACGGCGTGTCAAAAGAAGACATAATTAACTCGTTAGCTCTCGGTGTAATTTTATTTTTATAGAAGGAACATTGTCGTCTTTAAAAAAATATAAATATTTTTTCAAAACGTGACAGCAGGACAATTCGTTAAAACGTCACATTTTCGCGCTTCGGTTACTTTTGACATATAAGGGCAACAACGCTATAATGTCCCTTCTAAGAATCCATTTACAAAGAGTGAGTGAGGGATTTGGTTTTAACACCGCTTTAAACAGTATTCTTGTTAAATCACGGCGTGTCAGCTTAATGTGGGAGGAAAGACCGAAGAGATGCAGGTCTCAGACGTTTACAGCTTCGGTGAAACCCACGAGCACGGGTATGGTGCTGACAAACCTAGAAACATAATCAGGGTGAAACGTGATTCAAACTCACAATCATAGGTTCCTGTTGTGCCCAAGGGACGCAACTCTGCACAATGAATCGCGGCGCCTCAGACGACTCGTCAATCCCTGGATCCCATGTACAAAGAGAGATATCGGGATCAGCCTATAGGGGTCGTTGCTATGGTATCCCGGAACACGTTGTCCCCTCCCAGGTATGAAAGGCCAATGGTGCCACTTTGGTAGCATAATTATTTCTTTCAATCGAAATTTCTCCGTATTTCAGTTATTTTCTCGAAATTACGAGGTTTTTTCTCGTTATTTCGATTATTTTCTCGTTTTGTCAACTATTTTTTCTCGAAAAAATCCAGTTTTTGAAACAAACTTGAAATGATAAAATAATCATGAAGTTAATCATGAATCACAAGTTAAAACAGTATGTTGTGCATAGAAAACAATACTGTACAGTTGTTTTCAGCAACCCATGATTGACGTAAGAGGCGATTAACAAGGTCGGGTGGTCAGGCTCACTGACTTGGTTTGACTTGCATGTCGTTGTATCGCAATTAAGTAGATCGATGCTCATGATGTTAATCACTGGATAGTCTGGTCCAGATTCGATTATTTACAGACCGCCGATATGTAGCTGGAATATTGCTGAGTGTGGCGTTAAACAACAAACAAACAACATGGTAACATACTGTCCAAGTTATTAAGTACTACCATATGGTACATTGAATATTTACCCAAAGTGGATAAAATATAATTTGACCATAAGTTACTTATGACATTTTAAATTACGAGTATTCATTTCACAACAATAAACATTATTTGAAATTGTCACTTACGATTGAATATTTGGTTGGCGTTAAACTTGAGATGACCCCTGCAAGCTGTTGTCCATCGACAAGCCGTGCGCCGATATTGCAATATGTTTGATTTCCTGTAAAATGTACACTTGAGTTTGCCATGCTGGCAAGTTATGGTGGTTTTACGACATCTCCTTCGTTTCGTCATCAGCGGATTAACAGCGGCAACGATGGGGTAGACACGCTGGTGAGTACACACCCATGCCACGATGTCTGCAACCAGGGTCATACACACCTGGAGAATCTGGATGTCTTTTCCTTACAGCTGTTGAAGTGTGTGTGGGAAATAGTACGCATGAAAATGTAGAAGAATGAAAATGACACTTTCTGTACGTACATTATTTTATAATTTGTAATTTCCCACATGTAATAATTAACTTCATTTTTAAAAATCTGAAGGTAAATTATCAATTATGGGAGATTCAAGCACGTCCATGAAGACACATTTCTCATGCTACGTTCCACAAAACATTTCACTCAGAAGTGACCAAACCATTTACCAAACACATGAATCTGATCTATGTTTCATATACATTCCAAATGTTCTGTATGTCGCATATGAATTATGTTTATGTGAAATGACAGCAAATAATATGAAAAGTTATGTATAACCTCTGTATAACTTATGTATACTATATAATGTACATTTTAATAATCATTTTCAAAACTTGTTCCTGATCTATAACTAGGGCATTTAGTGAAGCACAATCATATTTATCAATATACTATCATTGCAAATCTTCCACTTCACGAGACTCTCAAATCATTATGGTAATCACGCTAAGCAGGTAACCTTAATGAATTAGATTATCATCAGTGTTGCATAATGTACCAGTGGGGTTAATAATAAATATATAAGAAATTCACAACATTGCTCACAAATAAGTAAAACTTATTTTTAAAAATCGAAATACAACTGATTATGTTTATTTTAGTTGGACATATTAATACTGAAATAATGTTTTTATAAACAAAGCTCAGGGCTTCCCGGGTCCATGTCCGACCGTGTCGGTTACTTCTGGTAAAGATACATGAACACTCTCAGGACACTGTACCCTCCGTATGCAAATGATGTCGATCATCATTGTATAAATGTATCGCTTTAAACTTTCGATTTTCGATGTGATATTTCATCAAAGACAGAAAATGCATCACAACAATAAAAATGACAATCTGTATTTCTTACAACAGATATTTTCAATATACTTATTCATAAATATACGAATTCGGTTTTTTAATTCCACACAATGGATATCATTCAGCACATCAGCTCAATTTGATGAGACTATTTGATTTGTCGAAGAGTAGAACGTAGGCGGATGACTTTACTGGCCTGCTATTGAAAAGTTCCTGCTGTTTTACCAGAGTACAATGTTGATTTTGATAAATGTCTAAACATATAAATGCTCACAGCAAATGTTTGTATTTACATAATTATTGATACTAAAAAAAACCAACTAAACATATCGTAGCTGAATCCGTGTTTGCTACAATGGAATTCTAGCAAGATGCGCGTGTGTGACCATGCGTGTGTGCTCTGCACGAAACTATAGAATGACCTATTTCTCTCAAAGAAGTCACACAATCTAGAACTGTTACTTGCTTTCATGCTATAAATTAACTACAATACCATGTCTCTTTATCAAGATGACATTTGTTAATATTTCAAAATATGTTCAACTCTGCAGAATGTCATGATATGAAGAAGTTGTTCCGTGCACGTCCCAGGTTCAATACGGCCATATTGTTAAGGTTTCAGTATAAAGTTTGTTTCTGGTGTTTTCCATACACAATTTCATCCATTAAGGCGGACATGTACCCTTCCAGATCAGGATCAGGTTATCCCGCTTTATACCCACTATGTGAGGAGGCGATCGACACTGCATTATTCCAATTGCTTTTTATGGCACGAGAAGGCCAGTGATCCTTACTTTTTTCCATCACGACAGTGGTAACTACCTACGTTAGGCCCTCCTCACACACTTAGCTGAATGCGACGACAATATGTTCCTTTCTCTATCATATGTTCTATTTCCCGAACAGAGACAGGTTGTGCTTGCACCCTTCCCTAATATTGTTGAGAACATGTTTTATATCTATATACGACTACTTTCACACGACACTGCGGATCTATCTACAGAACACATTTGCCTCTCTGTCCAAGAATGCATATATGAGAGTCAAAGATTTGTGAAACTGGTCTTTTATCGTGTTCTATTCTATTCTGTTCTATCGTCTCCTGTCCATTTGTTTATACCCATCATTGTGAATCTGTTTAGGATTGGGCATTCCAAGTTATTGTAATTTACTATCTTTAATTTTTTTTATTAAACTAATTCACATTTGATGCTACCAGAAATATATCACTGGATAAAAACATCATTCTTAAACGTCCCATACATGAATACCTGTCTGCCTAGACGACTATAACGGTAACCACGGCAGGCATACCCCATACACTAATACACCATTATACAATGTACACAGATAATTATAAACACAGGGAATAATGCATTAATGAAAGATACTCTTTCCATTGTTATGTTGAAGAACAACCTTCTGTAGTTTAATAACAAAATAATTGCCATGGCTTCGTGAATATGTATGTGAATATGAATAAACATAGTGGAAATGAGGTTGCTATCATTAAAGCTGGGGACATAGTGCCTGATTGTGACTCATGACTGCTTGAGACAATATATTAAGATGCTGCTTAATAATGTCATTGTTTCGAACAATGTACAAGCGAACCATTTTTTGCAACCATTTTAAGTCTCCCAAATGGGATTTTTTATTCAGTCAAGGTTTGAGATATGAATACAAACAGTTGCCAAATTAACAGTAAGAACAGTTAATTTGCGAACGATGGAAGTAGTTGCATTTCGATCAGTAAAGGAATAAATTACGGTATGAATCATTGCTGTATGAATAATATGATGTTATTTTCCGAACAATGTGAAAAGTGGTTTACGTAAAGTAGGACACGTGGTTTCCGAACAATGTGAAAAGTGGTTTACAAACAGTTGTCAAATTAACAGTGAGAACAGTTCCTTTGCGAAAAATAGAAACAGTTGCATTACGATCAGTAAAAGATGAATTTACGGTATGAAACATTGGTGAATGAATAATGTGAACAGTTGCTTTACGTAACCAAATGCAAGTTGGTTTACGAACAGTGAGAACAGTTGGTTTACGAATAATAGGAGCAGTCCCTATACGAACAGTAGAGGAAGCAATTGCTTTAAGAACAGAAGGAGAACAGGAAGAAAATTTGGTTTACAGAACAGTGAAAAACGTTGCTTTACGAACAGTAGGGACAATAGCATTACGAATAGTACGAACAGTTGTATTAGGAACAGTACGAACAGTTGCTTTAAGAACAGTAGAAACAGTTGCTTTATAAACAGTACGAACAGTTGTATTACAAACAGTTACTGTACGAAGAGTTCCTTTACGAACAGTTTGAATAGTTCTCCAAAAGATCTCTTCCGAGCTGACAAGATTATTTTTTTGTGTTTCAGGATTTATTCCCTGTCAGAAGAAGACATATAGACAGGCCACTGCAAATGTTGGTCTCGAAATATTTCTGTCAGAGCGAACATACAGACTCCGCATAAGTTCTTAACTATAATATGTATTCATAATGATTGGTAATATTTAGTATGGATCGTCGAACATGGTAAAATTAGGTAAAGCTCGTAACTTATGGCAAAATAGTGATTTGCTCGAAGCAATTGGTGATATTAAGTATGGCTCGTGTCAATTGTTATAATTTAGTATGACTGGTGTCAATTGGTAAAATTATTATGGCTCGTGCCAGTTGTTAGAATTGCGTATGGCCTGCGTCAATTGGTAAAATTAAGTATGGATAGTGTCAGTTGGTAAAATTATTATGGCTCGTGTCAACTGGTAAAATTAAGCATAGCCCGTGTCAAATGGTAAATTTAAGTATGGCTCGTGTCAATTGGTAAAATTTAGTATGGCTCGTGCCCTTTGGTAAAATTATGTATGGATAGTGTCAATTGATAAAATTAAGCACGGCCCGTGTCAATTGATAAAATTAAGCATGGCTCGTGCCAATTGGTAAAATTTTAAGCATGACGCGTGTCAATTGGTGAAATGAAGTATGGCTCGTGTCAAATGGTAAAATTAAGTATGGCTCGTGTCAATTGGTAAAATTTAGTATGGCTCGTGCCCTTTGGTAAAATTATGTATGGATAGTGTCAATTGATAAAATTAAGCATGGCCCGTGTCAAATGGTAAAATTAAGCATGGCTCGTGCCAATTGGTAAAAATTTAGTATGGCTCGTGCCCTTTGGTAAAATTATGTATGGATAGTGTCGATTGATAAAATTAAGCATGGCCCGTGTCAATTGATAAAAATTTAGTATGGCTCGTGCCCTTTGGTAAAATTATGTATGGATAGTGTCAATTGATAAAATTAAGCATGGCCCGTGTCAATTGATAAACTTAAGCATGGCTCGTGCCAATTGGTAAAATTTTAAGTATGGCGCGTGTCAATTGGTGAAATGAAGTATGGCTCGTGTCAATTGGTGAAATGAAGTAAGGCTCGTAGAAAAGAATATCTTGTTTAACGTAGTATTTGACTACATATTACATGTGTAAACCTCATTGGTGTATTGTTCTTAGTTACTTGTATTACTTGTAAATAAATGAACGTATTTGTTCCCGCAGGCAGTAATATAACCATACGTTTAACCACGGTGACTTCTACTACATAGTACTGACTGAAACATGGAGTGTAAATAAGCACATGAGTTTCGAATGTTTAAGGGGACACGGGTAGCCCAGTCGTCGAAAACGCTGCGATTCGCTGTAAAGAGTTGCGTCCAGAAACCTATCATTGTGGGTTCGAATCCTGGTTCGCCCCGATTATGTTTCTAGGTTTGTCAGCACCATACCCGTGCTCGTGGGTTTCACGGAAGTGGTAAACGTCTGAGACCTGCATCACTTCGGGTTTTCCTCCCACATTAAGCTGACACGCCGCGATATAACTGGAATACATGTACATATTTAAAAAAAATATAATTGATACCACAATCATGTCTCTGAAACACTTATTCACAAGCTAGAATATATCTATCAAAATATTATTTATCAGTTCTATCAATACGCGTGACAATGGATTGGTTGGCCATCAGTGAAGACGAGCTCCCAGCTGTGACC